ACACACACACACACACACACACACACACACACACACTACTCCCTACAGTATCCTCATTGCAGGCTTTGGTCCCGGGAGCATCTTGGTGTCACTTACCTCCTGTCGATGGCAATAGATAGACAGGGATAAACTCTCCAACCACAGGTAGTCAGTGGACTTTGCTTCTGAGGAAAGACCAGCCCTACCCAAGGCAGCTGTCTCCTGAGGGGTCAAGAGGAGGATGCGATTCACACTTTAGGCAGAAGGCAGAGACTGCCGAGGGCAAAGGGGGGAACAGTGCAGTTAAAGGTAGTGGGTAATGATAAAGTGCTTTTAATTTAGGGAGGGGAAAATGGAGCACCGTTTCCCCAAATGTCATGTTTCGTAAACTTGTGAACAAATACCACGTTTTGGAAAGTGTGATCAGAATGAGAGGAGATGGAGCGTTGACCTCACAGCTATGCCTGCAAGTCATTTCTTGGCTTGAGGGTGAGTGGAGCTCAGTGACCCAGTTCAGGCCTATGGGTGAGGAGAATGAACCTGTACAATGGTCCAGTGCAGTAAACGCTGGCCTTACATGAACTAATTTGGGCCTCAGAACAAATCAGAAAGGAAAATAATGTGTAGAACAGCTCGATAATTGGCTATAGCACTTACTGTGTCACTTTGGATGAAATTAGAATACCTTATTGAGATTCAGCGGTTGGGGAAATATAATTAAAAAGAAAATCTTCTCCCAGGCCGAGAAACCTTTCCACAAAGGTAGTCAAGAAAGAAAATGGTGTTATTATTGAGTAAGTATTAAACCAGAACATGGTGCATATCACAGGCAACCCTGTGATTGCAAAGGCAAAGAGATTGCAAAGGCAAAGAACTGTCACTCTTCCATAGAGCCAAGCAGATACAAACAATTTCATACATCCTGGCAAGATAAATGATAACTAGTTCTCCAGTAAGGCTTGATAGCACCATCTGTCACACATAATTTATGCTGACTTTACCTGGTAATTGGGGTGGCCACCCATGCTACATAATCAGTTTTACCTAGAAGAAAAACATGTTTGTAAGAGGAAGTAGATCTGCAGCTGGGAGCAAGAAACATCCTGGATTTAGGCTCCTGCCCTTCCACAGAAACTGGGAGGGCTGATATCTCTTGATGTTTACCTTTCAAAGAATGGTTCTCAGGTCCTTGAGACATTCCTGAGTCCTAACGCTGTTTTCAAAAGGATTTATATGTATTTCAAAGAGAGGAGAAAGTACGTAACAACTACAAGCTTTCTAAAGTAAGTGTTCCAATAGCCAAACACCTGTAACCACCAAGTGCGAGGCTGGATGGTGTGTGAGTGTGTGCGGTGGGAGAGCAGACTTGGTGGTCCAAGGAGACTTCCTTGGGTAGTGGTAAGGGGGCTGAACTTGAGGGGCGAGGTAGGGGAAAGCATATGCAAAGATAAGGGAAGTGTGTGTTCAGTTAAATGAAAGGCTGGGTGGTTGGAGGAGGAGTGGCAGGATGATGGATGAAGCTGGAGAGGGGCCTCACATGTCCAGGGCCATATCCTTGAAAACCCTGCTAATAGAACCGTGGAAACCCACTGAAGAGGCTTTAAAATTTTTT